CCTCGTAAAGGCCTAGTAATGTTACTAGGGCCTTACGAGGAAACAAAATTCCTTATATAAATTCGAGCAATCCGATTTCTCATTTGTAGTAAGCTTCTCTCTGAATTCTCTTAAGGTTCTCTCTATTTCCTACTTAGGTGGTTAGATTAGAGAATTTAGATTAGGTGGTTAGATTAGGGAATTTGGATTAGGTGGTTAGTTTAGGGAATTTAGATTAGGTGGTTAGATTAGGGAATTTAGATTAGGTGGTTAGTTTAGGGAATTTAGATTAGGTTAATTTAATTTTTTTAACTGTTTTTTTTAAATGATACTAGAATATTAATGATACTAGTTATCGAGCCGGGATGACGACTTCGTTCGTCAATTTTAACGAGCAACATCCGTAGTTTAGTTTTTTTTCTCTTTAATTGTATATGAATTTAAAACTTAAATATTTAGTTATTTATAAAATATTTAGTTATTTCTTTTTATTTATAACTAGGAAACCACCCCGCGCGTAAACGCGCGGGAGAAAAGATGTTTTTTTTTAAAGTAATTTTTATATAATTTATATTTGTTAGTCAATCATTTTGAATCATTTAATAAACTAATTATTTTGTACGAAAATCAATACTTAAAAAATAATCTTATATAATAGAAGAGTGAAAGTATAATATGTGTTTGAAAATTTATAAATTTAAATGTTATGTGTTTAGCATAACAATATTAAGTAAACTTTAATATTAAAGTCGCAGTCATTTTCTTTTATCTTTTTATATATGAGAAGACAAACTTTTAAATTTGTTGAAATGATAGAACAGTTTAAACCTTTTAATTAAATAATATAATATGTTTTAATACACTGTAATTAACATGCAAAGAACGACATTTTTAAATCTATGACGCTCAGTACCTCCATACAAACTGGGTTAGAAAAAAAATGGACTTTATCAGAAGAAGAATAAGAGATTACAAAAAAAATAGGTTGTTTTCTTACAGCCAGATTGGTTTGGATATGGTAGTTTAATTTCGCTGAAACTAAACCGATTAAATTATTTTTGCAGACACCACATTAAATTTTTAAAGATCGTTTAAAACTATATAATGAATCAAACATTATATTCAAGAGTACTAAGAATCGTACCTATATTAGAAAAAAAAACACATAAATCTTCTTAAAAAATTGCATCTGTAAAACATTCTATTTATAGTAATCTGAAAAGGTACATTGATAGATTATCAAGAGTTGTGTTTTGTTTTAAAATGAACATTTTCAAGAGTTGCGAGGAAAAAAAAGTTCAACCAAATACATTTTCAGGACCATTAGATAGAACCATAATAATTACAACCACGAGACTGAAACTCTTCAAAAAAAATTTAAAAAATCAAGAATTAGGGAAAAGTATGACTCTTCAAATTAAAGAGGTGTGTTGTTTGAAAAAAAATAACTGCTCATAGAAATTTTAATTTAAGTATAAAAAAATATTAAGACCAATAGAAGAAAAAAAAAATTATAACCAAAGATTATAATCCTTCAAATATGAAAAAGTATGACTCTTTGATGTAAAAAGATGTGTTGTTTGAAAAAAAAATATGTTAATGCCATAAATATCGTATGTCTAAAAAACATTTCTTAGGACAATTGCATGAAAAACAAAACAATGGTTGAAAAATTGTATCTTTTCATAATAAACTGAAATATATTAGTTTAAAAGTTGCATCTTTCATTATAAAAATAATTGTGTATTTTTTATAAAAAAAAAAATTGTTGAAAGGTTGTATCTTTTCATAAGAACCGAATTATATTAGTTTAAAACTTGCATCTTTTTGTTATAAATAGAATTGTCTAGTTTCATAAAAAATTATCTATTATTTTAAAAGTTTCATATTTTCATTATTAAAAAAAGTTTATGTTTCAGATAAAATAGTTTAAAAGTATTTAAAAGAGGGTATAAGAATTGTGTCTTCTCAAAATAACAATTGTTGAAAGGTTGTATCTTTTCATAAAAAAAACTTAAATATATTAGTTTAAACATTGCATCTTTTCATTATAAAAATAAT